ATACTCCTATTGTTAGTGTCCATGTGAATGAAGTCCTATATAGATCACAAATTTTTATAGAAAAATCTAAGACACTGAATTATTTCTTCAATATATATAATACTTTGGTGTACTGTGATCTTGCTGCTTTTATCCTTATGTCGGCTTTGGTTCTTGTGAGTTTACCTGCTTATTAGGAGACTTGGAGTCCGTTCATAGTGTGGGGAAGAATGATTTTGCCCTGCAGGAGAAGGTCTGATTGAAATGATGCTGCTTGTCCCCAAAGAAATTGTTTGCCTTGTACTTTCGTTACGTTTAGAGCTAGACCTGGGAAGGATTCAACTTCAAGCCTTAACCTGGAATTTTCTGGATTTGAGGGAATTCCCAAGCCTGTGGTCATTTTCACATTTCCTTTTTCTTAGGAATTTTCCTTTTCTCTCTTTTCTAGTGATAGTCTTTAAAAATAGAGATTGACATTGTATCATAGGATTACCCTCTAAGTGTGAAAATGTGTAATCATGTATGGTATTTAGGAAATCCCTTATGTGTCCGTTTTGTCGACTGAATACATTTAGATTTACTTGGAAAGTCAGAGAAATTGATTCTTTAGCGTTCAATCAAACTGACGCTTTTCCCTTCTTTGGAACAAAAGATTATTCATAACCCAATGCACAAAGGTTTAATTTGAGCTACTGCACGCATCACCAAGGGGACACTAGGTAGGGCCTTTAACAGTTACTGCGAGTCTGTGGCCTGAGGTTATTTCAAAATTAACAATTTCACATATAACCAATATGATAACAAAGTGTTTATATTTTGTATAAATACCTGCCACACACACACACGTTAAACGAAATATTTTACATATATAAAAAAATATATATATGTGGCTTTAGTTCCATAAGGCACAGTGGCTGTATTGTCTCAAAATTTTAATTTAAAAAAATATGCATATATACAATCACACACAAACATGCATAAATTATTTGATTTATTTTGGATTGAAATATATTCTCAATGACAAAAATATATGGAGTAGCAAAATAAAGAAAATGACTTCTCTTTAAGAATTATCCAGAAAATTAAATTTTGTTTGATTGAAATGCTCTATACTTCACATGTCTGTAAGTTAAGGCTATGGTTGCTCTATCACCATATGCCAATCAATATTTGAACTGCATTCTGTGGCAGACTGTTAATATGACGACTACATAAACACAGTGGCTTTCCTTCGCAATATTTATGAATTAGGTGCATTTGAGTAATCAATTTTTTTTCTTTTTTCTCAGGTGAATTGAAGCTGACAGTACAGTAGATTTTGAGAGTAATGCAAATCCTTTCTCTAGGGTTAAAACACACTGCCAAAAGCCATCTCTTTAATTTAAGGAGAAGATTAAAAATACATGTTGATATCTCCTAACTATCACACAACTTCCACTATTACAATGAAAAATCTGTTCCCCTTTCAGTTGCCTTTGAAGACTCTTTTGACAAGTAGATTTCAAAAGCAGAGACTGAAAAATCTGCTTGTTTTAGTCGTGAAGGAGATTTGCATTTTTTCATTTAAAGGAATTAGTTTGTTCTCCTGGCTCGTTCCTCTTTGGTACTTTCTGTTCTAATACACAGAAAGCTTGATCATCTTTGATCAGCAGAGATATCTTTTATTTAGCAAAGCTCAACTTTCTGAGAGTTATGCATGGTGTTCCCATCTGAAGGTGTTCTTTGCTCTGTTTAAATGTTTTGGTTTCTGCAACTGTCATGATTTATATGATTAAAAACAGCCATTTAAAAAAACAAAAACAAAAAACCAGCCATTCATCAAGAATAATGACTAATTCTATCTGGCCTTTCTAATATGTGAGATAACTCATAAATGAATTGAAATGGATTTTATTTCTATTTAACAATATCTATTTATCAAAGAGGAATTGGCAGCAAGGATTTGGAGAACTTTTTTAGGTCTCAAATAACATAATGAAGATTCAACCAAAAGATTAATTTATAAACAGTGGTATACATCAACTAAGTGCTTTAACCAGGAGTTTTAAAAAAGCCTTTATTTACACAAAATATCAGGGTTGGATATCTTTTAAGGAGTACGCTCTAGAATCAGGCTGTCATTTCCAATAGATCTGACCTTTTCTTCAGATAAAGAAGCGTTATTTTCCTCTGTTTAGGCCCAAGGAAAAACAAAAGGTAAAGGAAATAAAGGGAATATATATAAGGCAAACATTTCTCTTTTTTTGCATTATACCTTATCAATTAATTAAATTGTGGCCTTTGTTATTATAAATGTAATGATTCATTAAACTATATTATGTAATATATTTTGACTTTTATGATTGAATTTTTATAATTCATGTACTGCTACATGTTCTTATACAAACTTTTCAAAATGCAACAAAATTTATGGCAAAAAAATGGATACCAGAAAGCCAAAGACATCAAAACTGATTTATTATAAGAATATAGAAATAGGTGGGCAGCAAAACATTAACCTTTCAAAATATTTTTATCATTGTGATTTGGTAATTGTATTACAGTATCCTTTGGGGGGAAAAAAAGGCTCAAAATTTAACTTCCCTTGCTGTAGAAGCTATTTTAAAGTGCCATATTATTCATCAAGCATTAATTAAAGAACAGCAGGATAATTAGTAGGATCATCAATATTACAAGAAGCATTAGATTGCTCGAGAAGGGAATAATTTAACTAGAAACACTTCAAATTTGCTGAAGTACTGCAGCTCATAGATTAAAAAAAAAAACACACACCCAAACCAAAGCTATTTAAGGGATATAGACATTAAATTATTGTTTAGAAATAGGTGCTTCTGTATTTATTTTGTTAAGGCAGAATAATAGGGCTCAGTTAGGCTCAGTAACTCCCTGGAGACGCAGATGCATGATAACAGTCAGCCAGTTTTGGAGAAGGCAAACTCTCTTATTCTCCTAAGAAGGAAATGATCAGTCATTTGTCCTAGGGAACTGATTAATATCTCACAGTGAGTTCGAAATCACTGAGTGTTCTCTGCAAGTTTTATAGTCGAAGGTATGAACTCATAAGCCGCCATCCTATTTGAAAGTTAGCCATTGCTTAGGGTTTTCTATTAGAATCTTATGAAGTGCGTTCTCAGTTATACCTCTAAGTAACATTTTAGGTACGATATTGGTGAGTATATGGGCATAGCCGTGACCTCCATATTTCATCAGCCGATGTTTCGTGTGTATGTCATGGGCCATCAGAATTCGATCTTCGTAGCCCTCATCCACCAGGAGACGCACCCTGTGAAAAATGGTAACTCGTTAGATGTCATTTGTCTCACGTTTTAGCTTTTCAGGGTGTTTTTCAACTTTTCACTCAGCAACCTGTTATGCTTGTCATAAAGATACTGTCTTCCACTGTGGCATGTGTACTGAGAGACCTTTAATAAATATTGTGTGGTGATGATAGAGATACTGCTGCATCCTGGTAGGAACATGATCCTTCTCCCATGCACACGGAAATTTCTAACGTGGTATTTACGACTATGCTTGCTAAGACGGCATTAAAGATAGCTTCTGACAGGACACGCCAGTTTGAATGAATGACCACTGTAGCATTTCACTAAATAACATTTTCCTAGGTTTCCTTTCAGCATTTGTGTTCCCCTCCCTAAAATGCCTCTCTTCGTGGGCCCATTATTCAGATCTCATACCTATTCTTTCCTTTTATCTAGGGAATAAAATTAAGGATATCTGTGATCAATAGGGAAGCAAAAGGAATCTTCATACAAGTAAAACATTCTACGAGTAAAATTAGCTGGTTTGCAAATGATAGGCGTATGATAAGTGACACACTCGGAAAAAAAAAACTGTTGGCAAAGGTACCTCAATATTTTGAGCACTTGCCCCTTTGAAGTCTACGGGAATTTTGTCCCTGAGCATTGGGTTAAATTGACCAAGAAAAATGTATTCTATCTTCCTTCCGTGTCAACAAGATTGCTAAAATAAGAAGCTGTTCCTTTAAATTTATAGTCAGTTGACTAAAGAACAGCTTCCTGACTATGGTCTAAAAATGCAACCCTCTTTGCTTTGTTAAACGCTCTAATCTGTAGTGTGAGTCACCTCCTGACAGCCACCATCTGTATGTGTCTGGACTCCGGGCAGTGTCTGCCATGACTTCCAGGGGTCTCTGACGGCAGAAGATGCAATTTGCAGACAATGGCTCTTTTCTGTGATTCTCGGTATAGTCTTGCATGTGTCTGGATTCCAGAGTGGATCTAGGTGGATGGTCGGCGCCTTCCTCCAGAGGCTGACTATTTGAAAGGCATCCTTTCTGTTTCCATAGCATTTCTTGGGCTTCTAGTGCATGAGTCATATTTAATAACTACTACAGTAAGCAAAATGTAGGGCACTATACAAAACAAAAATCCCTCAAGCACAAAGCCCAACCCTCTGAGAAGGTACATTTTAAGATAAATTATAATCGAAGGTTAGACCTTGTATCTGCAGGTCAAAGGAATGCAAGTGCCAGAGTAGAAGAGACAACTCGGGTGTTCTGTCCAGAAATCAGTGTTCATGTCACATGCACCCTATGCCTGTCCTTAAGTGTATGTAATGCCATTTATGCCACTAAGGCTTTTTTTTTTTTTTTTTGCCTTGTTGACATTTGTGTGATGTCCTAAGGTTCTGGCAAGCAGTTACTTTTGGAACAAAGTCTATTTAAGGGAATTATCTAAGAGAGTTATATGATCACTTATTAAAAAGAGAGAAAGATTTGACAGAACAGATACACAATGCTGAACCTTAGTGCAACAAACCTTGCTCCAAAACTGCAAAAGGGTACCAGAGCACAAGACCTTTTAGGTAACACTTTCTCCCCGATTTTTTCTGAGTATTTCCCTCAGTTTTTGCCTCTTTTTCTTATCCAAGAAATATGCTATCTCATACTACAAAGGCGTAGCGTATGGATAAACAAATTCATGTGAGATGTCTTGTGTCGTATCTTGCAACACAAAGTTATCAAATTGTGAAGTATTAATAGTAAAGAAAGAATATAGTCGACAAGACACTCTCATTTAAAAATAGGAGCCCTTAGAACTCATTATGAATCTGGAGACTGGTTATCTCATGAGAAAGATAAAGTTATGGCTCCGGAAACACAATTATATCGTGACTATCAAGGAAACCTGCCTGGTCTTTAAGCTAAGAGATCGTCGCTCGTGTTGCGACGCTGTATGGAAGCACACGAGCTACAGAGATGCTGCCAGAAGGGAGGAACCACTACAGATGAGAAGACAAAAAATCGCAGTAATTATAGAAATACAAATGAGTTAGTGTTTTGCAAACAAATATTAGAGAGAGACTACAAAGTGTGAAAAGGCAGAGATATAATAAGATTTGAGAAATGGAGCAGAAGATTGAAAACAGGTGTTAGACGCGGAATTTCTGGTGCTGAAAACCAGAGGTAGGCAGAAGCGTGTTTCTGTGTTCTTGTTCTTCAGAGGTTTAAGATGGCTCAGAAAAGGACTGCAGATGAATGATGAAACCAAGTGTACACAATGTGGGGGACAATGGGGCCTGGGAGCACACACCCCCCAAAAAAGGTCATTCAGTACTTAACGTGAACTTTCCTTGGGTCAGGTGACCTAATGCATGGTTTTAATTTAAGGAAGGTTAAGCACACCTACACACATATATACGTATATATAGAATAGTACACATACATCATGTATACACACACTCTTATATATAATATACATTATATATATATATAATTTTTAATGTATTTCATACATCCAGAATGTTTTACATTTGGCACAGTAAAAGATAACCAAATAGCCAAAAGGAGCTGAGAAGGAATGCTTTGGAGGAAGTGATCACCCTTCCCTCCTATCTCCTCCATAGATCCCCCTTTACAGATCTCCTCTCTCTTTTCTAGAAGGTCTAGGAGCCTCATGAAAGACATAGGGGTACAGAAGATACCCCTCATTGCCATGAAAAAGCTCAGCAAAAGGAAGCAGATCCTGAGTGCAAATTTCCCATTTCCAACATGAGTTATAAAACATGTTGAGATTGATCAATTCTAATCATGTTACCTCTTCTGTATATATATATATCCACCCACTTCATTAAAGCCCCTTCGTTGTTTCCCCTGGCTATAAACCTCATCTTTCAGATGGAATCCCAGCCCTCAATCTCTTAACTGCTCTCATGTTCTGCTTCTACCTTCTACGAAGGTTCTCTGGTTCTCCTACCAAAACACGAAATACTGTTTTGGAAACTAATCACCCAATCACGTGCATTGGTGCCAATATACACGCAATCATGATTTCCAGCCTCAACTGGGTCTTACACACAACACATCCTTGTCTGTGTCTCTCTCGTTCACCCAGTGGCCATTCTTAGCCTCACCCTCCTCTACATGGTCTCGCCCTAAATCCATTCCTTGTTTCTCAAGAGATGGCCATGTTAACCTCACAGGGACACTAGAGGACACATGGCCGTGCGTCCTCAGTTTCCTGTTCCCTTCGCTAAAACATTTATTCAAATTCACACCAATGCTTGCTTTGTGCTCTTTCATTTCCATGGAGAAAGTATCCTTTCAACCAACTTTCTATTTGCTCCCCTGATACCCTCTATTTGTCTCCTTGTTGTATATTGCTGTATATTTCTTATCTATTCAGTTTTTTAAAAAAATCAACATCTATCGAACACTTCCGTATTCTGCATCAGCCACTCTGATAAAGACGTGGCATACTTTATTTCCCATTGGAATGGACACTGCTTCCTGGATTCATTCTCTCGTGTCTGCCCTTGCTCTTAGCTACATAAACATTGCAGAACTTGCCAGAAGCCTCCCTTGATCCTGGCTTGTCTTTCTAGCTTCAGCCCCACCTCTCTGCTTCCCTCCACTGCCACAATTCTTGAAAGAGTCACCTCCACATTCTCTCTCCTCTTCTTCACCGCCTACTCATTCTTCGAGCCTTTTCTGCTGAGACCGTGCTTACTGATGATAAAATGTAAGCCTCCTAATCGTGTGATCCAATGGATGCTCTTCTGTCTTCACCTCACTTGATATTTGCCACCTATAGCAGGTGTTCGAGGCCTTCCGCGATGAGCATTCCTCTCCACTGACTTCCATAACAACATATTTCCCTGACATTATCACTTTGAAAATTTCTTCTTGACCTGTCCTTGAGTGACAGTTCTGACTCTATCCCTTAAATGTCTCTGTCCTCAGGTCTCTGCCCTCATCCTCTCCTCTGAGCGATCTCATTTATTCCCACGGTTCAAACTATCACACGCAAACTAATGTCTAGATTTCTATCTCAGCCCAAATCCCTGCCCTGAGCTTCACATCCTTATCTTAGGGCCCCACTGGACAGCAACACATAGATACTCTCAAACTAATGTCTTCCTTGTCAATCACAAATCTATTTTTCCTCTGAGATTGTCTTTCTTTCTTTTCTCTTTAAGAGACAGGGTCTCGCTTTGTCATCCAGGCTGGAGTGTGGTGGCACGATCATAGCTTGCTGCAATCTCAAACTCCTGGGGTCAAGCAGTCCTCCTGCCCCAGCCTCCTGAGTAGCTGAGACTACAGGTATGCACCACCACGCCTGGCTAATTTTTTTTTATTTTTGTAGAGACAGGGTCTTGCTATGTTGCCCAGGCTGGTCTCAAACTCCTGGCCTCAAGAGATCCTCCTGCCTCAGCCTCCCAAAGTGTTGGGATTATGGCGTGAACCACCCAACCCACCCTCATCCCAGATTTTCTCACTTGGTCCATTCAATCTTCATATACCATGTGACCAAGACCAAATCCAAACCAGGTAACTACCCTTTCCATTCTTCATGTTTTCCACTTGATTGCAAAGAATGACTCCAACAATGGTTAGCTTTCATCACACATTGGACAATTTAGGGAGGTTGCATGTTATATGATGTTTGATCTTCAGACATAATACTTTCAGCATTTAAGTTGCAATAACCCCTTCAATGAATACCTTTAATAAAGCATTTAAAATATTAATTGTAGGAAGTTAAGACTTTAGCGTGGTCAACCTGGGAAAGAAACAGCTTATTTTATTAGGGGCAAAAGAAGGAAAACGTCTTTTGTTCTCTGATTGCCATGGCAGGGGTTGGGTATTATCTGTGTTTCCTGTTAGCTGCCCATCTGCACTGAACTTCTAAGGCTCTGCTAAGCTTTAGCCTACTTAGGATGACTCATTTTCTCCTTGAAATAATAGATAGAGATTTTCTCCCTGAAACAGCACAGATATATTTTTCCCTGCAAGTCTGTGCTTCAGCCTGCTTACTGTTTTCTGAATCTTTGCTAATACTCACCCACATATGACAATCAAAAAGGGCTAGTAAAAGGAAACACTCTGAGAGATTTCATCATATTTACCTTCTAATTCTTTTGTTATCATTTGGCATGTCAGTGTCCGGGTTAAACTGGTAATGAAGGAGTTCGGTACCAAAGAGATCATATTCCAAGTAACAGCCAAGTTGGGCAAATTCCAGTAGCTCCTTCTTATTAATTAGGGTCCTGGAGACAATGAAACAGACATATTGTTATTTTTAAGAGCATATTTTCCACATGTACACATTAAAAGTAGTAAGCACGCCATGTGCTAGAACACAGTTTGAGTTGGGTAATAGAACTTTTGAGTTGGCTCTTACACTAAGTACAATTCGTTACCAGAAATGAGACAGCTTACCCATCCAATAGGGTGTTTTCCTTTCTAAAGTACTTGGGGAACTATAGACTTATTTTAATTTTGCTGTCATTTCTCCCAAACAAGCTTGAATTCTCCTTCAGTCTGGCGAATTAGGCGAGTCACACCTACCTGGGTAAAACACGAAGCTTTGCTGTAAGGTAGCAGGGTGATTCACTTGTGAAGATCATAAAGTGGTTCTACAATTAATTTCATAAGCCTATATGAATATAATTCCAACTTTTTTGTAAAGGGACAATGCTCATAGAGATATTTATGTTCTGGAGTGCATGTTTTTTTAAATAAAATGCATTATTTTATGATACATTTTATGGATGTCTTCTCACTGCAATAGACATCCTATTAAGAATATCATTATTTTAGGATGTAAGACTATGTAAATGAATGGGAAAGGAGAGAAAGGTAGGATTAAGTACAGGCTAGAGACAGGGGAGCAGAGTATGAAGCATGAGTAGATTATCTCAAGGAATTGAGATTATAACAAGTAAAAAGGGAGGCGTTAAGGGAACCCCAAAGTACTGTGGTAGAGATCCAATCACATAGAGAACTAAGAAAGAATAAAAACATCCTACCAGGAGACAATATGGAAAGATTGTGAGGGGAGAATACACCCCGTTAGACATCACATGCAGGGAATTAAGGACCTACAGGAAGCAAATGATTGAGACCCAGAACTGGCCTGAGGAACAGCAGAGAACGTCAGACAATCATTATCGTATTAGGCTTCTTATCCGCACTGATATTCTATTACTTTGGCAACTCCAGGATGCAAGAATTAAAGCACTATTATATGTCTATAAACCTGCTTCTAAGAGGTCAGACATATTTTCAGAGCCTTTCTTCCAAACCATAAGAAGACCAATCAAGCCTCCTCGTGTCAGGGTGCAGGAAGTTTCCGCCTTCCCGGGAAGCTTCCTGGGAGTTGACTATCAACTTTCATTCTGAGCTATCATATTGTGGCTGGCTCCTTTTTATTCTATTCACCAGTTTAGCATAACTTATAGTTCCCGATGTTGTTTTAGGCAGGGAGGCTAAAAAATCTTCCCTTTATACTATAAAATGTACATTAGTTCTGTGCTGTCTTCTATTAATACTACTCCTTTTCCATCTTCATACCATGGAAACCATCTTTTGCTTCCAAAATTACTAGGCGAAAAGAATATGTGTTTTTCTACAGTAAACATATTCTGTTTTCCCCCAAAGAACCATGCTTAAAAACAAAATATACACGATCAAAATAACATAAGAGGGAAGAGATAAGTTTACTATTTTTTCCTTTTGAGTCAACTCAATTCAATTTGTTAATTACCCAACATGGGCAAAAGTACTGGGTGGGGGGAAGTCACGAGGGGAATCGGGTCACCACAGACAGGTTGGATCAGACTCTTATTTCTGCTCCTAATGTCCTTTTCCTTCTTTTGGCCTAATGCCTCGAGACTAAGTTTTCTAAATTTTAAGTGATATATTGAGGTATATGCTTAGCGAAAAGTTTATAGTCAAAGTAAAGCTGTAGAAAAATCTTCAATTTTGGTTATAATTGAAAATGAAAAGTAGGCTGGGCACAGTGGCTCATGCCTATAATCCTAGCACTCTGGGAGGCTGAGGCAGGAGGATCGCTTGAGGTCAGGAGGTCAAGACCAGCCTGAGCAAGAGCAAGACCCTGTCTCTACTAAAAATAGAAAAAATTAACTGGGCATGGTGGCATGCACCTGTATTCCCAGTTATTCAGGAGGTTGAGGCAGGAGGATCGCTTGAGCCCAGGAGTTGGAGGTTGCAGTGAGCTATGATGACGCCACTGCACTCCAGCCTGGGCAACAGAGTGAGGCCCTGTCTCAATTAAAGAAAAAAGAAAAGAAAAGAAAAAGTAAAGCTGCTCATCATTATAGCTGACACTTCCAAGAACTTATTACGTGTCTGGCATTAGGCTTTACATTAATTTTTTCATTTAATATTCTCCATAATCCCAACCAGGTCTCAATTTTACAGATGAAGAAACTGGGGCTTGAGAGATTAGATTGTCACACAAGGTGACGTGCTGAAATTCCAATTCGTCTCAAGGCTAGAACCTACTCTCTTGACCATTGCATTATATGGCTTCTCCTACTGCTAAATGTTTTTTTTTTACTCAAAGAACATTTTCCAGCATTACATTGACTGAATATGCACAGAGTATATTTCAATTTTTAACTTTGAAATCTGATTTCCTCCCCATAGAACCCTTAAACGACACTTGAAAAATGGGGCATTGACCATGAAAGGGTAGTGTGGCAGGGTAAGGAAGTGAAAAGCCCAGAAAGGTAAGAAAGGACTCGCTTGTAGAGATCTTTAAATGCTAAGTCAGAGGGTAACTGCATAGAATAAGCAGGATGCAGCCTGACAGTTATTTTGGAATATTTGAATGGTGTGGTTGAGAAGAAGAAACTGTACTAATTACGATAATCACTTACTTTCTTACTATGAGCCTTATATTGCTCTAAGCTCCTTTCAAATATTCAGGGGCACAGAGGCAACACCCACCACCAGATCAGAGCTCTCTCCTGAAGCCAGACTTGCACATCCCAATGCCTGCTTACCACCTCCACTTGGATGTCTAATAGATGCTTCATGCTGAACATGCCCCAAAATAACCCCTCATGGGCCACCCAAATTGGCTGCTCCAACACCCCTCCCTATCTCAACGGATGGCACCTCCATTCTAGCTGCTCAGGCCAAAAACCATGCAGTCATCCTTGACTGCTTTCTTCTTCTCGTGGTCCATATTTAATCCATCATGATAGCCTTTGGGCTCGACCTTCAAAACGTGACCAGAATCCAGACATACCATCGTGTCCTGTGCTACCTTTCTGATCCAAATCACTCTAATGTCTTGCAGGATCCCTGCAGTAGATTTCCAGCCATTCTCCCAGCTTCTCCCTTTCCTCTATTACAGATTATTCTAAATAGAGCAACAAAAGTGCTAACTCCACGCCTGAGTCAGACCAGGTCTCTCTGCTCAAAACCCAGCAATGGTTTCCCACGAGGCCCCACATGGTCTCTTTCGATGTGGTCTTACAGATGTCTATCTAAAAGAGGAATGGGGACCTTCAGGACCCAATTCTCCAGGTAGCAATGACACACAAGCGTTATCTATGTTACAAATGTAATCTGAAGAATGTCACCATGGGCAGAGATGTCTTTCTAGAGGAAGGCTAGCACTGTTCCGTATGATTCATCCACACATGTAACTTTCACAAGTAACTCCTGGGAATTCTTATCTTGTAGAAAAGCATATAGAAAGAAGTGTGACTTTGAGGGAACTGGTTCCTCTGTAAAATGCTCTTAAAAATGTCACAGTTGCATGTAGAGGAGATTTCTTCAGAAGGGAAGCAATTAGGCTCCCATTTTAGACATTAGTAAAATATAGTTTAAAAAGAGGGGCAGACAAATTTGCTGTCCTTAAAAAGCCAAGATACACACTCTCTCTCTCTCTCTCTCTCTCTCTCTCTCACACACACACACACACACACACACACACACATATACACATATATATGTGGCTATTATTATTATTTTTTAACTGACATTTAGTGATATGACCCCCTCCGGATAATTAAGCATTGGTGTGAAGGCAATTAAGAAATGAATTCATTTCTATTCTCCTTATTGAAGAAGGAAAGCAGAATGCAAAATCCATGGGGAGAAAATAGTGTCAGTGATCGCACCCGTTTTTCAAAGGAAAGTCCTGGGAAAAAGCAGAATGCTGTAATAGATGTTAATGAAGGGCAGGACAGGAGATGCAGGGGACACCAGAAAATCAGCACCTCACAATCATCAGGTATTTAACACAGCCCTAGCTCACTTAATCCTTTCAAAAGCTGTATCAGGAAGGCAGGTCATCCCCATTGTACAGATGAGGAAACTAAGTCCTAGAGAAGGTAAGGAACTCAAGCTTCCAACTTGAGGAGCTGTGAAGACACCCAGACTACTTTTGTGTTTAGACTAGGCAGCCTCTTCATGGGGAGAGCACCCACCCACCCCGGCACCTCACTCTATGGAGAAACATGCGCCATCACAGTGATGTCTAGGAGCAAGCACCCTGCACGATGAATGTCTAACAAGGTGACTTACCCACATGAAACTGACATTCAGTTGGATGGCTTCCAGGGACTGCTGCATTCATGCAAGTGACTTTCTTTTTTACTTGGAGAAAGGATTGACCCCGAGTGTCAGCATGGCACTATGGGAAAATGGGCTCTGCTTGGCGGCCTTCAGATGAAGATGAAACAGAGGTCCTGCCCTCTGTGCCATCAACGATCTCATAGCACGTCTTGGAAGAGTAGAGGTGTTAACCTCAGCCCGTTTTCCTCATTCCATATTCTATATCCATGACTAATTCTTTCTTAATCCAATCCTCCCCAGTATTTAAGACAGGTATTTTTCATTTCTTGCCCTAAACAGTGAGGTGACTGCAACATGCAGACAAGCTACTGCATTTCACCCTAAAGAAAGCCTCTTCTTCAAGGGGGATGAACCGATTGCCATGTCATTTATGAAATATCCTGGGATTTCCCAGGAGGAAGATGAGATTTTTGTATCAATGTTCATATCATTCAAAGGGTATCATTTCTTCTGCTGCATACTTCATATTTTTGTTCCTCAACTAATAAATAAATTCTCTGTAAATAAGGAACAGGCAAAAAACCATATTGCCATCAGCTAAAAAACATGGTGTCTGGAGTGATTTGGCTATCTTCATTTTCAGAATACACTTATCATTTACCCAGTGTTTTAAGGCTCATACTAAAACGCAAAACAGTTGATTCCGTTTTTC